GGTTTACATCCTAATGGAACGCCATTTGTGTCCTATTGCATCGGTTCTGGTAGGCTATTGTAACATTTCATTTAAAACAGAAATATAGCTCCATATATATTTATATATATATAATAACACTAAAATTTAAATAAATCACAAAATGAAACTATTAATAATATAACTCGTCCAACAAGCTAATAATATCCATAAAAGCAAATGTTCTACCCCAAGTGCATAAGTTTAATACATTTCAAGATAGTAAGTTTCAAAATGTTAACAACAAAAGATTCTTAGAACATTCATCTATAGCAATTCAAAATTCATCTCAAGTAAGGTCTAGATCTTCATTGCATTCATCTTCTATTTCTTCATCTACTCCACCTACAAAAGAGGATAAATAAAGTCATTACCTTTCATCTGGAATGCCTAGACTAAATAAATTGATCCAAAAAGAAAAAGAAAATAATGGACATACAAGATGCTAGTCATGAGCCTAGCTCTTCTACAGAAACACCTTATCTAGACCCAAATTTGGACATTAAATGTACATGCAAGCTACTAAAAAAAAGAACAACACATCAAATTAATCCTGTTATAGGATTTAAAAGGAAAAGAAGTCCGTTTGCACACGTATAGCGTTAATTATATCATTATTATAATGTTGCAGTGGCCAGGAATTGAAACGGAGACAAAGATAGGTACATCAAGTTACCTTCCACCCATGAGTTAGCCGTAGCCGAGGGTAGTCTTTCAAGACATCATGGATGTATTATGCAACGACTGGCCAATTCTGTGGTCAAAATGAAGATCATTAGATGTCCGTTCTTTTGTTAACATGGGCAACTCCAGCATCCAGTTGACATTAAGAAAAAGCAACAAGAAAAGTTGGCACTCACATTTTCATCTACATTACGGTAATGTACAGAGGCACAAAACTTATGGTGCTCAACCTTCGCACCCTTAATGTCTTTAGTTTTCTCGACAAGGGTTTTAAAAACCTGCAAAGTAGTCAAACAAGTTAAGTTCACGTCTTAAATTACCTTTTTTTCTTTTCCGGCTGAAAGAAAGAGTCATATACTGGTTTGAAATGCTTTTTAGAGAAACCTTCTAAAGCACCTACCTCATCAATCATGGGTAAAAATTTACGAGCAGGCTGGAACATATTAATTTCCTTGCCCTGCTCAAAAAGAAATTGCAAGATTAGTTAGGAAATTGGGAAAGTAAGTCAGAAATTGAACTAGATAGCAATGTTTACAACAGAATGAAAGGATAGAGTCTGATAATGCAGCTAATATAATACCTGCTGATCAGTAGATTTAATACACTTTGAATCGTTAGTAGACGACATATTTTTGACTGGCAGCATGATGTCCATACCATGGCTACCGGCATAATAGAGTTCAGTTAGACCTACCAGCTCATAAACCTGAAACAATAAAGACACAAGTCACTACTGCAAATGAACAACAACAACAACAACCCCGTATAATCCCACTAGTAGGGACTGGGAGGGTAGTGTGTACGCAGACCTTACCCCTACCACGGGTAGAGAGGCTGTTTCCAAATAGACCCTCAGTATCCTTCCCACCAAGAACTCCCCACCTTGCTCTTGGGGTGACTCGAACTCATAACCCCTTGGTTAGAAGTGGCAATACATGCTAGTATAATAATTACAAAAATCAACGACCACAAAAACATAGCAGCTACTACAATTGCGACACAAAAGTTTAGTATGTTGTTTAAAGAAACCCCACGAGTTTTTGGACCTAAAATAAGGTGAGCATCTAAGTTTACTTATCTGAGTAAATCTGCTCTCATCAATGCAAAAAAATGAGAGTACCCCTCTCCTCATTGTTTTCCCATACTTTGATCCAATGACTGTAGTATTGCGATTGCAAGAGTTGAGGTTCAACTCATATCCACACGATCCACTACTGCAAATGAAGAGAGATATAAAAAGTACACGGTATCAACATTAATAAAATTACCAAAAAAGTTACCTTGTCATGTCTTCTTCCACTGATGATGGCTGTTGGGAATAGAGTCCCTTAAGTACGGGCTTCTTGTAATCTGGACAAGTCGTTCAGGCAGCCCGAAACCAGAACTGATATTCAAAACACCTTCAGGCAGCCCAGCCTGTTAATAATAACCAAGTATTAGAGATATTCCATACAATGGATAACTTGTAGAAAGTAGCAATAACAATGTGTTAAAAAGAAAAAGAGTTGTTGCAATTCCTCTTCAATTAGTATATACTTCAGTTTCTGATTATATAACACGATAAACTCATGGAAACAGAAGAAATACTTTAGTGACTATAGTATTAGAAGTAATGGAAATTTGGATACTACTTTAGTGACTATAGTATTAGAAGTAATGGAAATTTGGATACTACTTTAGTGACTATAGTATTAGAAGTAATGGAAATTTGGATACTACCTCCTGTAATAGATGTGCTACATAGAATGCAGATAATGGTGTCTGCTCAGCTGTCTTTAGCACGACAGTGTTGCCACAAGCTAAAGCATGTCCAATCTTCCAAGAAAACATGAGAAGAGGAAAATTCCATGGAATAATCTGACCCGCAACTTCAATTGGTTCATGCAACGTTTGAACATGATATGGTCCATCAGCAGGAATAGTCATATCGTGAATTTTATCTGTCCGGCCTGCAGAACCAATAGGAGATCATTAATATTTTCAGGGACACGAAATAAGTGTTGATATACTTGCTTTCTCAGTTGGCTTTCTGACTTACCAGCATAATAACGGAGTAGACGTACAACCATTGGTACTTCAATCTTAGAAGCCTGTTCATATAGTTTCCCAGTATCCCAAGTCTCGAGCGTTGCAACTTGATCGTTATGTTTTTCGATCAGATCAGCAAGGCGCAACAATATCTTTGACCTTTCCTGCAGTTATGAAAGATGGAGAATTAGGCATAATGTGGCATACACAACCATTAACAGAGCATAAGACTGTGCTGAGAGATAAGAAGTGGATACATAAGCATTCATTTTAGGCCATGGTCCTTCGTCAAAAGCCTTACGAGCAGCAGCTACTGCCCGATTTATATCTTCTGCATCACCTTCAGCAACATGTGCAATTACCTCCCCAGTCCTGGGGTCGAGAGTCGGGAATGTTTTTCCTAAAATCCCAAGAAAATTAGCTCCATTGTAAAATAAATGGCCAACGTTGATATGGAAAAAGAGAACACTCTATTAGTGTGACAATATATTTACCTGATGCAGCATCAACAAATTGACCATTGATAAAAAGTTTAGTATGTTCCACATTGACAGCTGGTTTGATCGGTTCCTCAATAGCAGCCGCCGTGCTATATTGATAAGCAGCTATTCTGCCCAGATAGGATTTACTTCCTAAGCAAAAAAGTTTTTTCCTCAGAATAATACAGTAAAATGTCTCCAGCTCTAACTAAATAGAGGGAAGGTATAACATCTAAAAATCTAATAGGGAANATATTGATAAGCAGCTATTCTGCCCAGATGGAATTTACTTCCTAAACAAAATAATTTTTTTCTCAGAATAATACTCTAAAATGTCTCCAGCTCTAACTAATTAGAGGGAAGGTATAACATCTAAAAATCCAATAGAGAAAGGAGTATCAATCCTTTTTCAAATGGAATTTTATCTCTTGTTCAACTTTGGGACAGACATGTATTTGGATATAAGATGTATAAATTACAAATCACATTTTGTGCAGTCATTACAATTTACAAGAATAACCAAATTACATCAAGTGATTCTTCACCAAAAAGAACATTTTGGCTTGCACAATTTAGTCGAGTCTCACGTTTACCTGGAACAAGTTACTTTTGTGACAAAACAACGTGGAGCAAACAAAGAAAAGGAAACATTTAATGTTAATAGGAGAAAATTTGACTTGAATCCTTTACAGATGATATATTAAGTTGGATTTAAATGCATTTCCATTTGAAGAAAACAGTAGACTCACTAAAAGGGACCAAAAGAAAACCACCAAATTTGTTCACTCTTTTCCAACACCTAGAAGGTGGTTTTCATTTACTTTCCTGTCATCATTCCATTTAAACCATTGACTTCCAAGGAAAAGGGAAAAAAGAGAGTGTAAAAATCACTATTTTTTGGTAAATCTTATGGGATGGATAGTCAAAAATTCAGAGGAGTCAACAACTCTATTGGGATGGATAGTCCATTTAAACTTTATTGACCACATATCCTCTAAGTGGCGTTTGAAGCCTTTAACTACCATTCTTCATGCCCAGTAATTAGATGAAAGAATATTAGTATCCCAAAATACTATCATGTGACCTAAAGTTGGAATTTTCAGCCAAAAACAAGAACATGCAGTCCAAATTGAGAAATAGATTCATACAATTGGTAAATACAGAGAGAGAAGAAAGGTTCTTACCACTCGATTTCTCAGCCGAGTTCGCCGGAGAAGGAGATTACGAAGAGCAGCAGTCGAGCGCGGCCTCAACTCGATTTGCTAATGAGGTCTCTTTGAAGGAAAACGAATTACCGCAGAAGGAACACGATTATTGACTCTGCAGAAAAACAGAAGCCTTAAAAAGCTGAGCTTAGTCTCTCTAAATCAATAGCGGAATCAGGCAGTGATGCAAAGGCTTCGTAATCTCGATCCCAACCGCGAAAGAGCTCTTGAATCCCGCAAACAACTCTCTAACTTCGCTATATTTTGGAATTTTGAGGTCTTTTTTGACTGATTTTCGCTAATTATGATCTGATTTGAAGGTGGTTTTGGGAGTATGGCAGGAGCTATTTTGGAGATGACTGGAGGAGAGACCCGCGATTGATTTATTAGGTATTTTTAGGGGTTTAGTGTATTTCATATTTTATTAGGTATAAAACTAAGAAAAAAAAATTAGCTGGTGGGCCGTTCCATTTTAGCGGGTATTAAAAATTTGGGTGAAAATAAAGAGGGAATTAATAACCGTAACAATAGAGATAACCGTTACCATAGATTGATTTATTGCTACGGTTATATAAGCGTTGCCATATTTACCTCGGAATGGTTTTTAGACTATGGCAACGGTTCAGTTACTAAGTGTCCCAGCAGTCCCAATAATTATTAGTAACGGTTACAACCGTAACAGACCACCTATAGCAATGGTTATAAAACCGTAGCAACAGAAAGCGTTGTCATAACTCCAATTTCTGGTAGTGACGCATATATAAAGGAAAAAGAGAAATGGAGGCCAGCCAATAAATCTCCACCACTCATTTCAAAACTTGCTGCCAAAGTATAAATCTCCACCACTCATTTTAAAACTTGCTGCCAAAGTATAAATCTCCACCACTCATTTTAAAACTTGCTGCCAAAGTATATTCACAGGCACATGCCTATTATCAAAGCTAGAATCGGTTGGACCCAACATTACGCTTATAGGAGCACACTCCAATCACTATAGCGCATTTAAATTAATGCTCGGTCAAAGTCAAATTACAAGGACTAAGGTTTAAAATAAAGCAATAAATATGACTAAACCATAATAATAATAATAATAATAATAATAATATATCCGTTTCAACTTATGTGAATCTATTTTTTTTTAGCTCATGCCAAAAAGAGTGATCATTTTTTATATTTGGAAACAATTTACCGTTATGCAATGACTTATAATCACACAAATATATGTGTATTATTTTACACTACAAGTTCAAAAAATTATATTTTTCTTAAACTCCGTGTCCAATCAAATATGTTCACATAAATTAAAACGGATGGAGTAAAAATAAATTAATTTTTCTTAAAATGATTAATTAAATATAACTCAACTATGAAGGAATAATACTTAATAAACAAATTAAATGAATAAAGACACAAACAAAACTACAGTTAGAGAGGGAAAAAGAAAGAAACTAAAGTTAGGTATAAAATGACGTTAAAAATTTTGGTCAGACAAAATTAGTTTTTTTTTTTTTTCGGCAGAAACCAATCCAAATTTAGTTTCAATTTTCTCATTCCCACTCGCATTATAATTACGGAAGTAGAACTCACCTCGGAATAGTCTATTTAAGCCTTGCCAAATGCCCTCTCTTCCTAATTCAAAGAAAAATCAAAATCGGTCTACCTTTTCTGATCACAAAGTTGGCAGAGACGAAATTAGGATGGCGTGTGATTTGAAGACGTGGGTTGGAGAGAAATTGAGGTCCCTAGGGTACAATTCAACGACGATAGAACTGGATATCGCTCATATTATTAGTGCATCTAAGAGATGTTCATCACCAGAGGATCTCGCAAATCAGTTTGTTGATACAGGAATGTTTTCATCCTGTGATGAAACTCGCGTAAGCCAGTTTGCTCAAGAAATTTTTGCCAGGGTTGATCGCAAAAATAGGACAAATGTGTATGTTCAACGAGAAAGAGAGGCCGCATTGTTGGCCAAGAAGCAGAAGACCTACACGCTTTTGGAGGCCGATGAAGACGACAACAATGTTCAAAGACGGGCGGTTAAGAGACGTACTGAAGAAGAAAAGGCTATGATTGAAAATTTGAGGAAAAAATCTAGACAAGAGTATTTGAAGAAACGGGAGCAGAAGAAGGTAGAGGAAATCAAATGTGATATCGAAGAAGAGGGACACTTATTTGAGGTGGACAAATTGACTGAATCAGAACAACGGGAATTAAGGTACAAGAAGGAAATTGTTGACCTAGTTACTAAAAAGCAGTGGTCAGAAGAAGAGGCGGATGTGTATAGGATTCCTGAAGAGTATGATAATTTTGAAGGTGGTAGTGTTAATCAGAAAAAGAGATTTTCTGTGACTACGCAACGTTACAAGGACGAACGGGAGATTCATCCACAACAAGCATGGGAGCAAAATCAGCTTGACAATGCAACACTTCATTTTGGATCAAAAGACAGAAAGACAACAGATTATCAATTTGTGTTTGAAAACCAAATTGATTTCTTAAAGGCAGCTGTGATGGATAGTGATGGTGTTAGTGTTAATGTTGATAAGCAGCAGCCTACCAGTGAGTCGTCAGTAAAAAAATCTAAACTTAACGAGGATAGGAAGGACCTACCAATTTATCCCTATAAGGATGCTTTGCTCCAAGCTGTTCAGGATCATCAGGTTCTTATTATAGTTGGAGAAACAGGTTCTGGGAAGACAACTCAAATACCTCAATATCTGCACGAGGCGGGTTATACTAAGAACGGTGGGAAGATTGGTTGTACTCAACCTCGTCGAGTTGCTGCAATGAGGGTTGCTGCACGAGTTTCTCATGAGATGAGAGTTAAACTCGGGCACCAAGTTGGTTATTCCATCCGTTTTGAAGACTGTACTTCTGAAAAAACTGTTCTGAAGTACATGACTGATGGAATGCTGCTAAGGGAGTTTCTTAGAGAGCCTGATTTGGCGAGCTATAGTGTCATCATGGTGGACGAGGCTCACGAAAGAACTTTGTCAACTGATGTTCTATTTGGCTTGGTTAAGGATGTTGCTCGTGCTCGCCCTGATCTCAAATTGCTTATTTCTAGTGCCACTCTGGATGCAGAAAAGTTCAGCGATTATTTTGATTGCGCTCCGATTTTTAAAATACCTGGAAGGCGGTTTCCTATTGACATACATCATACAAAAGCACCAATAGCAGATTACGTGGATGCAGCAGTAGTTACTGCCCTTCAAATCCATGCAACTCAACCACAGGGTGATGGTGATATATTAATTTTTTTGACGGGGCAGGAGGAGATTGAAACAGCCGAGAGTATCATTAAGCACCGGATAAAGGGTTTGGGAACAAAAATAGCAGAGCTGATAACTTGCCCAATATATGCAAACTTACCAACTGAACTACAAGCCAAGATATTTGAGCCCACTCCTGAAGGGGCTCGTAAGGTTGTCCTGGCTACAAATATAGCCGAGACATCTTTGACAATTGATGGGATTAAGTATGTTATTGATACAGGGTTTTGTAAGATCATGTGTTACAACCCTCGGACAGGAACCGAGTCATTGCTGGTCGCTCCCATCTCGAAGGCGTCTGCCAATCAACGTGCTGGTCGCTCAGGACGAACAGGTCCTGGGAAGTGCTTCCGGTTATACACTGCACATAGCTACATGAACGATTTGGAAGATAACACAATTCCAGAAATACAAAGGACCAACCTTGCAAATGTCGTGCTCTTACTCAAGAGCCTTGGGATTAAAGACTTGCTGAACTTTGACTTCATGGATCGTCCACCAACTGAAGCTCTACTTAAAGCCCTGGAGCTGTTGTTTGCGCTTGGTGCCCTTGATGAGGATGGTAAGTTAACCAAAGTGGGTGAAAAAATGGCTGAGTTTCCTCTGGATCCCATGCTATCCAAGATGATTGTTGCCTCTGACAAGTACAAGTGCTCTGCTGAGATAATAAGTATTGCTGCAATGCTTTCTGTGGGGAATTCAGTCTTCTATCGTCCAAAGGACAGACAAGACCAAGCTGACAACGCATGGATGAACTTTCACATAGGCAATGTGGGAGATCATATTGCTCTGCTTAAGGTTTACAATTCCTGGAAAGATACAAACTTTTCAACTCAATGGTGCTACGAGAATTATATCCAGGTCAGAAGCATGAAAATAGCTAGAGATATCCGAGATCAGTTAGAAGGCCTGCTGGAAAGGCTTGGAATTGAGTTGAATTCAAGTGTTAATGACTTGGAAGCAGTTAAGAAATCTATAATATCAGGATTCTTTCCCCACGCAGCAAGACTACAGAAGAATGGATCCTATCGAACTGTTAAGCATCCCCAGACAGGTCATATTCACCCCAGCTCAGGTTTATCACAGGTGCTTCCTAGATGGGTTGTCTACCATGAGCTGGTCCTGACAACTAAGGAGTACATGCGGCAGGTTACTGAATTGAAACCAGAATGGCTAGTAGAGGTAGCTCCCCACTACTATCAGTTGAAAGACGTTGAAGATTCTAGCTCAAAGAAAATGCCTCGTGGAATTGGCCTTGCATCTTTTAAATAGGTCTGCATTTTTATTGCATCTGTTGCTAATTTAGTTGATATCCAGACTATACATATATAGCCTTCATATAATACCCTATTTAGAAGATAACAGCTTCTTAAATCTTTTATAAAGCTACGTTACTGTGTTCATATCTGATGGATTATTGTATTTGCTATGTCCTTAAATTTTCAGTCTTCTGATGCTAAAACATTTTTCTTTTTTCCTTTGTGTATGTCATATGATTATTCTTTTGGACAATTTTTTGAGGATGCAAGGCAAATTACCGGAGATATCCTTGGTAGGGACTGTGTTCCAAAAGTTGCAGGTGGTACTGGAATATCAGAGAATGGTATGTGTACTGCAAATTAGTGTACATCATCGAACCTTTGCATAACATTCCAGAAAATCTTACTAACTGCTTTAAAGATGTATGACATCTATTTTATCTTACCTGATCAAAAAAATAAAAAGATGTATGACATCTATTTGGCATTCTACAAAAAGAAAGTGGAAAAAGGTAACAATAATAGTTTGATTGATTTTCCAAAATTATGGGCTTATTCTTTGTTTTATTTCCTTTTTTTTTGTTTTGTTTTTAATAGATAGGACTTGATACCTTATTTAGTGCAAAAGAACTCAAAAATGTTGCTACTTAATTAAAGAAGAAGACACTTTTTCAAGTACAATTATTAAGTAAAACTGAATGTCATGAATGGTGGATGATAACTTTCTCCTTTCCTCATGAGGTATAGACCCCGATCTAGCCTTGTTATATCCTAGAATGTGAGTTGTTCGGGAAATCATAGAAAAGTGAATTATATTAACGAATCATATTAGAATGCTTAAAGTGGTGCCAAGAAATGTGAATTAGTACCAATTGCTGACTACTTATAAAAAATAAAAAATAAATAATGGCTGACTATTGGATGTACAGACATGTAGCAGCTTTGATGCCTATTGATTGTAAGGAATCTAATTTTTTCTGATGCTCCGTGTAATTTTAGGCTCGAACTTCACAGTCAAATAAGCTGGAGTTCCATTTCTGTCCAGAAGATCCTTAACCAAACCCTGCTTTTGAGGAACTTAAGGATGGAAATTCCTTGTTAAAAGTCAAGAATAAAACGAAGGATGTCCAAGATGCTGGTAGTAGCTGTGGAATAGCAGTACAGGAGGTCCTGTTAATCACGAACAAGGAAAACTCTTTCTTTGAACATTCAGTAGCTGCAAGAAGATAAGTTGGTCTAGTATATATCTGTTGATGCTACTAAAGAAATTGAAGTGCAAACTACTTTTCTTGTCAAATCTTGAAGTGCACAATACTACTAAATTGCAGGAACATCTCTCGGCTTATCAACAAACTAATTTTCCTTTTGCATGCACAGTAATTGCGACTTCCAAAGTAATAAGCATGTCCTTGCCATTCATGCCGGTGTTGCACGAAGAAAAAGGAGAAACTACACGGAGGTGGAACCTAAAGTTTGCAGCTATTCTTTCATTTTCACTGCAATTTTAAAACGTGGGAAATGATCTGTTTGTTATACCTAATTTCTTGAGTTTATTGCTTGTAGAGAGGGCAGATCTTATGGATGTTGATTAAAGGAATTGATGAGTTTAGTAGTACCTCTGTTCTTCGTAAAAGATATGCACGAGAATATTTTATGCTTTTGCAATTTCAGTTTTCCACTTTCAGACATCGCAATGCATGTTTGTTGTTTACCTATGAACATTGCAACCATCGTGTCAACCTCTCGTCTTTGTCTCTCTTTCTGAGTTGCTCTTACTGGATAGATTGTTGCATTTTCTTATCTTCCTCCTCTGTCTTGTTGTCTCCTTTTGTATGTGGACTCAGGTACGAATAATTTACGTTCAATTTTTAGCATGCTTTTTGGTGTATTTTGAGGATTCACACAAATAACCCATAACCAACTGATCGACACTGGTGTTTCAAGGCAAATGAAGAGTCCATGAAGCATAAAACTATTGTTTATTTGATTCTGCTCATTTTCCTTATCTAACTTTAAAGCATTCTCTCCAATAGAGGTCGTATTTTTCTCTGTAATTACCGGCACATGTTGCTGGCTGTACTAAAAGAAACATCACCTGACCTTAGTTATCAAAAAGATACTCTTCATGAGAGGTTTACTGGAATGTTTCAGACATCTTGTACTTTCAGATTAAAAGCATAATAAAAGTGTGATCTCAAGAAAGAAGCAAGGGGGACTCGTCGGACAAAATTGAGAGGTAATTTTTTCTTCTTGTAAGGAAGAAGTCTCTCATATGAATTCTTTTTTTTTCTTTTAATTTCAGTGAGTACTTTTTTGCTTTTTCACATTCCTTGATCAAGGAAAGTGTATCATGTTTCCATGTGCGAGTACCTCCAGACCCTGGAGTATGATTTTTCATTCTTCAATCTAGCAGAGGTATATATAATTCTTCATTTTAGCCATGAAAGTTGCGGGCCGGTAGTGGATTATAGTTACAGTGCATGTTTAGAGTGAGGACATGCACACTTGGAAGCTTTAGGTTAAATTAAGGATACATTCAAACATACGCTAAAAATGTTGTGGTTGCTACATGGTTAACTAGAATACTGATTGTGTAAAACTTAGTATTGGGAGAGAGCATAAATAAGTTAATGTGAATAAGCAATGCTGAATGCTCTATCTGGCTACACTGCTGCTCCTTCCATTATTAACAAGCCTTCATTCTTGAAGAATGTTTCAGTCGAAAGTTTTAGGTTATTATCATGTTATGTTACCTAGGTAGAATATTTTCCACGCCTTCCTCTCTTTCTTAATCTTTTCTTATATTACATTGACAAATTTGGTAGGATTGGATGAAATCATTTGATCTTTTCTTTGTTTTATATTTTCATAGTCTTTGATATAATCTAATGATACAGCTATCAGATAATCTTCGCTGCTAATTTTTGAAGACCAGGAGAAACATTTCCCACTTTTCTTATGAACTACGAGTTGTTAAAGTAAATATCAGTGACATTCTGAGGTTGGGTTGTGAATCATCTTATAAGAGTTATATCTTGTTCTTTTTCTTACGATGGTTGCATGCCACTGGAATAAATGGAATTCTATCTGAAGCATGGTGGCTTCTTGATTTGGTTCTTTTGCCAAACTTGATTTTGCAAATCGAGCTATTTGCCACGACAAGTATACTTGCATCCCTATAATTTGAACAAAACCCAAAAGTCTGCTTCCAGCTTGTGTTTGCTCAAAATCTTTCAGCAATGGTATATAAGGTGTATGGAAGTTGGATCTCTAGTTTCTGGCGGATTATGATGAAAAAAGAAGTGGTCAGCATAGAGTTCGTGAACTGTTGTTGATTGAATCTTAAGCATGCCCCCACCCTCTCTCCAAACACTGTTGGGAACAGGTTCTTTATTTAGAGTCTTGTCCTATATTCATAAATTACTTGACTGATTCTTATATTGATGTGCAGAAATTTTTTCGAAAAGGCAGATGATATGATTGGAAAATGAACAAATTTATCTGTGGATTTTGATACTTCTAAGTTCTTTTATAGTCATTTTATTCCATATTGAAAAAGCTGAGCCTTTCTGTTAATAAGTCTTGTATCAGAAACAATTCAATTGTATCTTTGATGCATGATCACTTCGTATACAACAAAGCCCTTCAGAGTATTTCGCTGGATGTCTTATTTGAACCTACTCAAGTTATCCATTTGGAACCCTTAAAGGCTCTAACTATGGTGCATGCAGATCCTAAAATTTTAGTTTTTAAGAAACAAATGAGATTGTTGATAGTAGTTTGCATGAGCTTTTGTATCTTGGTGTGCTGGTAAGTAAAAGGTAGTAATTTTTATAGACCTTCTCGGTTCTCTCAGGTTTTGCTTCATAACTCCAACTTTTTCAATAGTTTACAATATTATACTTTTCAGTTTTCATCTTATTTTTATTTTTTCATAATAATTATTTAATGTATTTATCAATTATCATTAGAGAAAATTAGAACCTTCCTAAACTTATGCTCTTTCGATTAATTTATTTTACTAGAATGAAAAAGGTAATACCGTCAAATGTGCTTTCTTTTTTCGCTGTAGGATCAGCAATTCGTTCTTTTCCTTTTCCTCTTCAGTCTTCGCATAATCTTTTAGGTAAAAGCTATCACTCTTCACTTATTATTTCTGTAGCGCGAAAAACAAACACAAGGTAACTTTATTTCTAACCTTTTTGTAAAACTTGTCATTGCTTCGCTAATTCCCAAGATCATCACACTCAATTCCACCCTCTTGCACTTCTAAGCAAAAGCCTTTCTTTCATGTCATGCATGGTCTTTCACTGTATGGATTTTGAGTGGCACGTTGACTTCCATGAGGGGTAGGGCTAATTAGGAGGCTTTTATGTTTGGTCAAACTATCGAAATCTTCCTCAATTTTTTGCTACGTGTGTTGTACGTTATTTTTAATCATATAAAAAAAGATAGTTAATATTATTTGTAATTACATTATATTTATTTTCTGATGCACAAAAATATTATTAAGATCATATTCGCTTGATACTTCTTCATTTGAAAATGATGTTCATAGTATATATTCTTTTGTTATTCTTAGCCTTGTGAAAAAATATGTCATGACTAAAATAATTTTATATTCGGGATTGAGCCAATGATCATATGATGTATTTATTATTATTATTATTATTATTATTATTATTATTATTATTATTATTATTATTATTATTAATTATTCCATTAAAGTTCTACACAAATTATAGGAGGCAAGAAGTTTCATTCATCAAAGGGCGAGACCTAACTATTTTGCTATCCCGTGGTAGAAAAAGAATAAGAAAAAGACACTTAAAGCCCCTTTTAAAGATTTAATGACCAAAATGCTCCCCCTCTTTTCTTTTCTTTTTTTTTTTTAAAAAAAAGAAAGATAAAAATGCCCTCTTTGAAGATTTTAAGAAGGGCATTTGCATTTATACCCGCTTTTTATGTCACATTTTAATTTGTGCCCGCTTTGCAAAAAAAATTGCAAGTGTACCCGCTTTTTTGCATAACTTCAGCACACGGGGCTGAAGTAGCAAAGGCAATCACGCAAAACATCAGCATTCTAGTAGCTGAGCCTGAAGTTCAGCTCTAGAGCTGAAGTTTTTGTTTTGTAACTGGCGAACTTTAGCTCTAGAGCTGAAGTTTCTGTGTTGTGACTGGGAAACTTCAGCTCTAGAGCTGAAGCTTGGATAAAATTAACTCTTATATGAAGCCGTTGGATTTGCTCCTCTCCATTGATCCAATTGATGAAGCCTTCACCAACTATTAGCATTCAACCATTTCTTTCAATTGTTGTATTGACAATGCAATTAACTATTTGTAAATCAAGTGCATTATTTCTCTGTTTCGTTGTTTTCACGTCAACGACTAAACAATATTAACCAGAAAATAAGCGCTATGTTTTACACAGAAATTGTATAATGATCGTGCTGACTACCCAATTCTTTTCCACAATATTCTGTACTTTAATTTTGTTTAGATAATTTTACTGAAGTTTTATAGAGTAATATGGTATCTGATCAGAGAGAACTCCTTGTTGGCATCTAGTTGTGATGAGATGGAGTTCATTTCTTTCAATTTGCTTGTTTGCATATTTCAGCTGTTTATTTCAGAAGAAGAAGAAAACGAAGGAGGAGGAGAAAGGGGGCTGAAGTTATTTAAGAATTTGGTACAAGTTAAACGTTTTTTAAAAAATGGGTATAGGTTAAATGGGGACGACCAAATAGGGCGCTCCGTGCAATTTTTACATTTTAAGACCAGGATGCCCCTCCTTTCTAAGCATAGCACCCTAAGCTTCACCAAAGGTCCTTCTCCTTCTTTTCTTTATTTTTTTCACTTTTTTTTTGTTGGTTTGTTTCATACTTTGTTGTTATTTTTTCACATTATTTTTTCTTTTTAATAAAATTATGCACTCTTATTTATCTTTTGTTAATTATTTTTTATATATATTTTTACTTTTAATTTTATTTATTTATTTTTATTCATTCTACTAGTAACCCTCTCGCCCTTTTTTACTTATTTTATTATCTTGATTTTTATTTTTTTGGTGTGTGTTTTTTTCTTTTCTTTTTTTAATTTTATTCTTTCCAATAAAATCTCTCCCTCCAAAATATTTTGTCGCTTTTTTCCTTTTCATCTTAAATTTTCAGTTATTTTTCAGTAAATTCTTCCGCCAAAAATTGTTATCACTTTTATTTTTATTTATTTTATAACTAACCGAGTCTTAAAATTTGAATTGGGATACTTTCTATACAATTACTAATTGATTATGATTACCGAGAGTTACCATTGTTGCACTTTTTGATTTTTTAAATTTTGTATTTAATATTTGTAGATATGTCTGTCGTTTTCTAAGAAATTTTAGTTTTTATTTTTTAAAGTAAAACCTGTTCGTTTAAAATATCTATCACTTTTTTTCTTTATAATTAATCCCTCAGCTTCAATTTAGATGAGACAGTTTCACTCGGCACAGAACTTAAGAGAGAAAAGAAGACTTTTAAAACTTGTGGTCTTAAAAGCTTAAGAGTAAAAGCTTTGTGGGGGCCAGGACATTTGTGCGGTTATAAAAGCTTCTCGTTAAGGGTAAAATGAGTAAAATAAAGAGTTTAAAGTTGAATTATTTTTAATTGTAGAAATATTTCGTTCTTTTTGAAACTGACTAATTGTGATGACCCAAAAGGCCATCTTATGTTTTAGAACTCGATTCCATGTTTCGAGTCTTCCAAAACCTCATTTTATTCCTCCTCGATTTGTGTATGCAGTGCGGGCGCGGTTCGAAAAAGGCTTTATGTGGAAATTTGAGAATAATAATAATGTTTGCCTTTAAAAGTGGATTTAGTTGACTTCGGTCAACGTTTTGAGTAAACAGATCCGGACTCGTACTTTGACAGTCCCGATGGGTTCGTATTGAAATATAGGACCTGGGCATATGCCCGGAATCGGATTCGGAGGTCCCTAGCCCGAGTAATGAATTTTTGTTAAAAATTGTAAGTCTGGAAATCTAATGATTTAAAGAATTTGATTAATATTTGATCTCATTGGTATCGGGCACGTATTTTAGTTCCAGAGCCCGATACAAATTTAAAATAATATTTAAGTCATGTATGTGAAATTGAGTAAAAATCGGAATTGATTTGACGTGATGCGGGCATCCGGTTGAGATTCAAAGTGTTCTTAAAAATTTCATGTGATTTGGTGTTAAATTCGTAGTTCTACATGTTATTTTGGGGATTTGATCGCATGAGCAAGTTCGTATGATTTTTTAAGACTTGTGTGAATGTTTGGTTTGGAGCCCCGAGGACTCGGGTGAGTTTCGGATAGGCTACGGAGTGTTTTGGACTTAAGAAAACTTGTTGGTATGCTTCAAATCTGCAGATCTCGCAAATGCGAGGTCTAGCTAATATGAGCCTCGCATTTGCGATGAATGTTCGTATTTGCGAGCATGGGAGGGGACTGGATAGTTCGCAATTGCGAAGAATAAGTTTGCATTTGCGGAAGTCCAAGTTTGCATTTACGACTGGAACTTCGCATTTGCGAAGGCTGCAGGAATGCGAGGGGTTCGCAATTGCGATGCTTTTCTCGCATTTGCGAGCTTCGTAAATTCAAAGCTCAGGTCGCAAATGCGACATCTGCAGCTGATAAGTTTTGACTTAGACGGGATTTTTCATTCATTCTCCCATTTTTCAAAACCTAGAACACAAGAGGCGATTTTCCAAAGACGTTTTCTTCCCCAAATCATAAGTAAGTGATTCTTAACTAGTTTCTTTCAATCTTTTACCTTTTTTTCCAAGATTTCATCTTAGAATCTAGGGTTTTTCATGGTAGAATTGGGATTTTTGGGTAGAAATTAGGGATTTCGAAATTTAGGGATTTAGACCTCAAATTGAGATCGGATTCCAAAACCAATTGTATATCCGGGCCCGAGGTGAATGGGTAATCGGGTTTTGGTCCGAATTTCAAATTTTGATCAAGCGGACCTGGGGTCGGTTTTTGACTTTTTGAGGAAAATATTGAAAAACTTATAATTATGCATTAAAATTGATTTCTTTAGCGATAATTGATGTTATTAAGTTAATTATGACTAGATGCGAATGGTTCGGAGGTGGAAACTAGAGGGAAAACGGTAATTGAGCTTTGAATTGGCCGTTGGATTGAGGTAAGTATTGTGTCTAACTTTGACCCGAGGGATTAGGGATCCCCGACTTACTTGCTATGTGAAAATCCATGTGTGTGACGTATATGTGAGGTTATGAGTACCTATGCGCCGCCAATTTATATGTTTAATTGTTCCCTTCTTGTTCTTAATATATTGTTCCCTGCCTTAACTGCTACTTGCTTATTGATATTTCCATGATCAGTTGCTACCTGTTGGATATTGTTTTCATTGTTAAATATACTGGATAGCACGTAGTTTCATTGTTTTATATTATTGGTTTAAGCTGGTTATCAATGTTTATTAGTATACTTTGGATTGGTTTCGCTGAGTAGTAT